CCCTCCGGGCGCCGACCCCCACAATGGGCGGGCCACCCATGGCCCCTCCCTCCCGCGGGCGCTCGGCTCCCCTCTTCCCTACCGCGGTCCCCTGAAACCCCCTTCTCTCTAGAGAACTCAGGGACAGCCCCTGCGGTCCCCTCACCCACCGCACACACACGAGCCCCGCCCCGCAGGACTTCCTCCACCGCCACCCCATGCCCACGTGGCCCTCTCCGCTGGCAGAGGTGGCCCTGACCCTCCTGGGACCATCCTGCCCTCAGCCCACTGTGTGACCGACCTCGAATTGATTCGGATCCTGACGCCCAATGGGGCCGCGTGGAAGGCTGTCAGTTTCTCTGCCTCGGAGCCACTGGTGAGTTAGAACCTCTGACCTTGGGTCAGGAATGCCCTCGCGTGGATCCCCATGCATGGGGCCACGTGAGACTGCCCCCTAGGCTTGCCAAGGCCGTCATTCCTTATAGATGCCTACTGCCCGTCTCCCTCCTGCAGAGCAGCAGTGTGCAGGGTGGGGCACTTTAACCATGCACCCCAGGGCTCCCTCTGGCCTCTCAAACCCACTGCCCTTGAGTCCATGGTCATTCGTATCAGGGCAGAATAGAACTGCCCCTGAGACTGTAATCCATTCTTTTCTTTTTTTTTGTTTTTTAAATCATTTTATTGGGGGCTCATACAGCTCTTTTCAAAATACGTCCATCCATTGTGTCAAGCACATCTATCTGTACATTTGCTGCCATCATCATTTTCAAACATTTTCTTTCCACGTGGGCGCTTGGTGACTGCAACTCGTTCTGGGGCAGAAAGCCTCATCTTTCTCCCCTGGAGCATGCTGCTGGTTTCCAACCACTGACCTTGTGGTTGGCCACCCAACAGGCCACTAGAGCTCCTGCAAATTCTCCCTTCAGACTTCCCACCACCCCAAGGCCTGCAGCTTTGGGAAGGCGTTTTCCCTCACCTCAGGCAATTCCCCGCTGGAGATCCCCCCCCATCCCCAACTAGGGGCCCCAGTTGGCCTCACCACTCCCAAACACCCATCTTCCACAGCCAGCAGCCCACCCGGCCCCAACACTATTCCCTTGGTCCTCTCTGAAGTTTTGGGCAAGCGCGTGACCGTTCTACAGAGCTGGACGACGAGCCAGCCCTTCAGAAATCTCACGCCCTAGGTGGTCTCAGGAACTTTCCCACCCACAGCTGGCCCCTGGGTCCCCTTTGGCCCTGATTAGAATGGGGGTAGGCTTGGCTTCCCTAGACCTGCCGGAAGCCAACCCCAGCCTTGGGAGAGGGGTCATGAGGCCTTTCCCACCTGGCCTGGGAACCTCCCTAGCCTCTTTTCCCACCCCCACCCCCACCCCTGCCCTTTGCTTGACCAGCCCCCACCCCCACCCCACCCCCTCCTGCAGGGCCTCTCCTGTCTTTCCCACAGATGAATCAGCCTTCCACTCACTGCCAAGGCCTTGGGTGACATCACTCTGACCAACACAGTAGTTAGTTGGGGTGGGTTTGTGAGCCCCATTCCCCAAGGGAAGAAACAGGGGACCAACACAGTAGTTAGTTGGGGTGGGTTTGTGAGCCCCATTCCCCAAGGGAAGAAACAGGGTCTTAGTCACCCTGGTCACCGCTCAGCTCTCAGAGGTGTGGGGAGCCAGAGTGGGGGGGGTGTCTCTAACTCAGCCTCACTCAGGCACGAATCCTGGCCTCCCCACTCACTCAGCCCTATGCTCCTGGGCCTCCCTGAACTTCAGTTTCTAAGACATGACAAAATAATAATAATTTATAAATTATTAAGGGTTCGTGAGCGAGGTGGGGGCGGAGAAGGAGGGGGAAATGAGCTGATACCAAGGGCTCAAGTAGAAAGAAAATGTTTTGAGATGATGATGGCAACAAATGTACAAGTGTGCTTGACACAATGGATGGATGCAT